TATTGAATTCAGCACATTTCAGGAAGTTTTCAAAATTTGACTTTTGGGGGGGAAAAACTTGTCAAAATTTCTAAGTCCCCACTTTTATTTTCTCAAAAAGTTAAAAACCTTAACTTCAATTTACTAGTTGCTTAAAAATTTGCCTTTAATTTGCAATACTTACCTGTCAAAGCCAAAAAAATTGTAATCGAATGTGTAATTACTCGACCGTGACCGTATTTGTTAAAAAGCATGAAGTTAGAGTTCCATATGTTTTTTCGGTCGTATTCTTCATATTTTTTACTTCCATGTGTTCTCCATCTTTAATTGATAACGAAAAACAGAAAAAAGGTTGAATAAAATGCGATTTATGTCCACACAACAATGTGCAAGTGAAGCTCAAATGGCCCTAGCTGGTCTAGTTAACTGAAAGTTCTGTTTCCTTGCACTGTATGACTTTATTTTACTCAAAACCTTTATAATTACTGCCCGAAAAACCTACAAAGCGTACCGAAATTCCTTTTAATCGTTAGAAATCGATCGCTAGATTTTCAACAAACACCACAAAATCATTCTAGAGTTTATCCGGAAAAATCAATGGAACGGGAACCGGGAAAATGCCCTCACCCTCAATGTCAAACTGGAGGAGGCAATATTTGTAAGAAGACATTATGTAAACTTTGTTGACAAGGCACAGACAATTACGATAAGCCCCCTTGTGTCATCCTAATCTCAACCCTAATTAGCATGTACATGCATCAGAAGGATCAACCGGAGAGTGAGACAGCTTTTCCAGCAGCAGAATCTAGCGGAACTCAGAAGACGACCTAGTCTTCACTTTGGAAAAACATTTTTTCAATAAAAGAATTGTAACGTGTATGAATCGGTATTACAAGGGATATATGTACAGTATAATGCTTTTTCTCTTACTCGATCTGAGTTAATGATTAGACTAATAATTGTAAGGCCGCTCTATCTGAGGGAAAATCACAATTTATTTAAACTTTTGTTATCAAGAGACGTGGACTGGGTCTGGCTTTTGCACCGTGTTTCTACACTAGGTTCCTTTTGATAGGAAAGAACTGGTGCCTCAATCTTCTGCAGATTTACTGCACCCAGAACTTACCATCAATTCCCTAGATCACCTGCCACTGGTGCTTATTCTAAGCTTACCCTTTTCTTCTTCTGATGGCTTCCTCTTTATTCTTCCGATTTCAACCGTGACTTTCAGAATGTCTGATTTCCCTAAAGCATCGCTTTATATACCCCTTGGACAGGTCTATTCCAAGGGTAGTAGGTGAATTCCATATTTCATTATCTAAGGTCGACGTCTTCTCCGTTTATTTAAACGCCCCTTAACCATAACAGAATTTTTCTCAAATAGTGTGAACTCTTTGAGGAACGGTTGTCTTGCTGTGAATTCGTTTGAATGGAGAATAATGCAGTATTAAACGTTGTGAATTTTTAAGTCTAGTGTGCCTTAACGTTTCTGCATATTGTGTTAAAGCGCTTCAATAAAATCAAGTGACAAAAATTGTTTTGCTAGTTTATTATCCTGTATACTTATTAAATTATACTGTTAAAATAATTCAATATAAGAGCGGTGTGAAAGCAAAAACTTGTCTGGGGACTTCGAAATTTTGACTAGTATATATGCAATATACCGCATATAGTTCTTTGATAAGACAGAGTTATTCCTCTTTACACATTACCGTAAAACAATAGCAAAACATGGACAATATGGAAGGCGGGGGGTATTATTAAGTGAGCTTATTGCTCACAGTACCTCTAGTTTTTTCGTTGTTATTGACGCCAATTTGCTATTCATGAACTGTAAATGAATAATTTCTTGTTAAGTATTCATGAATTATTAATAACAACATTATATAATATACTCATAATTCTTTATCTTCGTCCAAAATAAAAATAAGTTTTAATATATCCATTCCATATTAACAAGAAGTATAAACGGAATGCTCCACACAACGATACATAACATATTCATAAATTACTTTCATATTATAATAACAATGAAACATGTAAAACACAGAATAAAACAATTACATAGATGTATTTTGCAGAGAAACATTTGCAAGCGATAATTATAAAACATTTTCATAGATTCTTTATACTAGAAGTCTATAGAATAAACTCATGGTCTAGTTTTAGAACATAAGAAAATGTTTCAAAGATTTAACAGTATTTAATAAAATAATTGTGACGAAAAGCAAAATTGTATATACAAAATCTAAAAATGAGACGAGAATTTTTCGTTGCTCATTAAAAGATTAACCTATTTGAGTAAATCATACTCGGATAATGAACTTTGTCGACCTTTCAATATCCAATCGCAGAATATAACAAAAGTAGATACATTTCAAAGATACAATAGTATTTAATGAATAAATGTGATGAAACAAAATTTTTATAAAAATTATAAAAAATGAAAGAAATTTTGCTCATTAAAAAATGACCTATGAGATTAAATCATACTTGGATAATAAACCTTTCAATATCCAATCGCATTATACGAAATATATCTTGTTTAGTGTTAATTTTAATTGTTGATTGCAATGGCGATGGAAGCAAATATTGGCATTGGCTAATCATGGTGTCACAACACAAAGGCGTAAATATTCAAGATTACGAAAGATTTTTTGACCAAGCAGTCACAGGTAGGAGATACAACTGCGGACAAAGGCTGAGACTATGAAAAATTCATTCAGATTCCGATAATTATTTGTACATAAACTATAGAAAGAAATACACAAAAGTTGAGACTATATATAATCTAATTTAAATTTTATTAAATACAATTTGTATATCAATTACCCGCTAGACTAGTTAAACTTCTGTAAACTATTTAGTTTCAGACAGAGTATCGTCTCACATGCTTTTTAATTTCATTCAGCACTATCTTGTACTCAGACGCTGTACTCTCATCATACCTGTACTTGTTATCATTAAACTACTTTACCCATCGGCGTGTTATCTCTAGCACAGACAAACCTTATTTATCCAACACATCAGCATGGTCTTCATCTCCATCTTCATCACTAAACCAATCAAGGACATCATCTTCTTTCAACATATAGCTCAGAATTACACATTGTGTGCATCACCCTGATATTTACGTCTACCCCGGCATTAAAGAATTTTCACCTTCTCTACTTTGTCCTTGACTATCACCATCTCATCAATAAGAAAAAACAGCAGAGGTCTCACATCAGACTCATAGTTAAAGTCATCATACAACTGAACCAACTGATTGACATCCAGTCCTATTTCCAATAAATGTTTCAGAACAATGCACTCACTTTTAAAGATTATGTCATATAAATTTCCAAATTCTTCTATACGCCAAACATGTCGCTGTGCTATCACCACATCATCTTTGCTATTAGAAATCACGCCACCGTGTCTTATGTTAATCAAACAGTTAAAGAAATGTAACTTTAATTTATTCAGCTGAGCTTCTCTTTCTATTTCTAGTAATTGTTTTACAACGTCCACTTTGTTTTCTATTAATGCAACATACAATGATGACATACTCTCTTTATTACAGATTGTGGAGTCTGCACCATACTTGTTCAGAATCAAAACTGCAGGAACAGCAAGCTTTGTGTGATGTAAAATTATTACGTGAAGAGGAGTGTTCATCAGCCCCTGCCTCTATCAGCATCTTCACTAAACTTAAATCTCCACCCAAACATGCTTTTTTCAGTGGTGTATTGTATTTACTTTGTGGATTAACATCAGCCCCCGCCTTTATGAGCTCCTTTATTAAACTCATTTCTCCACCAACGCAAGCTGTTGTCAATGGTGAATCAAACTGAGTTGCTGGATTAACATCAGCTCCCATGTCTATCAGATCCGTCACTAAACTTTTATGTCCACACTCACACGCTGTCACCAGTGGTGTATTGATTTCGCCTCGAAGATTGATATCAGCCCCTGCCTGAATCAGCTCCTTTACTAACCTAATATGTCCACCCTCACATGCTGCTGTTAATGGTGTATTATATTCACCTTGATGATTGATATCAGCTCCCTCCTCTATCAGCTCTTTCACTATATTTATATGTCCTTCCATACATGCTACTGTCAATGGTGTATCATAAACACAATGTTCATAATTAAAATTTGTCAGAAGCCTGGAATTTATGCTTCTATTGAAATATTTCAGTATTTTTCTAACAATTCCTAAGTCGCCACTATAACAGCTCAGTACCAGCAACCGGTATTGTTCAATATTCTGCTTAGCTTCCTCTTCTTCTGTTATAACTGTTGCAAGTGATAAATTAGGGTTTAAAGAATTCGTAAACAGTTCAGACTGTGTTTCTTTGTGAATATCAGTTTGTTCTAAAATAAATTGTAATATCTGATTGTGTCCATAGTAAATCACCCAACTGATGACTCTAACCTTGTATTCTTTCTTTCTCTCGTTGACCAAGACTTCCTGGCCTCGCATATCTCTGTACGTCATGAATCTCTGTCGAGGCCACTTCATCTTTCCTATCCTCCCCTCACTTTCCTTGTCCAAACGTTCTTTTTTACTCACTGCCTTAAACACGTTTTTCTGCACCGACAAAAATAAAGACTATCATTTGCAATAATAGTGTACATTTATGCCGTGTTTGACTGAACTTCTTTTGATTTAAACATATTTCATTTCCATCAGAGACCTTTTTTTTTTTAACAATGAACACTTTATTATGATGACGGATGCTTTATGAAATATACTTCTTTCAAAATATTTTATATACATTTTTGCCATCACATTTTATTACTCTTAAACAGAGTATCGTCTCACATTTTTCTTTACCTCACTCAACATTCTCTCACATTCAGTTACGTCTTTTGTCTCCCACCAGTACTCGCTCTCTCTCAGTTTGTTCATTAGTTGTCGTATTCTTTCCAGAATAGACACACCCTCTCTGTCCAACACAAAATCACTCTCTCTGTATTTCACCCTGATATTGACATCTGCTCCTCCCTCAAGGAGGGTCAAGACCTTTCCTACTTTGTCACTGACCCTCTTCTCATCAATAAGAGTAAACAGCAAAGGTCTTACATCCGACTCATACGTACTTGTAAACCCCTCAAAATTAATGTTATTATACAACTCTATCCGCTGATTTACATCCAGACCTACATCTAGCAGGTGTTTCAGTTCGTCGCATTTATTTTCTCTGATTATTCTATACAAATCACCCAATTCCTCCATACGCCATACTCGTCTCTGTGTAGTCACCACATTACCCTTACAATCAGTCATAACGTTGCTATGTCTTATGTTTACCAAACACTCAAACAAATGTAACTTTAATTTATTTAACTGTCTTTCATCTTCAGCTCGTAATAATTGATTCACAACATCGTTTTTGTGTTTCAATAATGCAATATGCAATGACGACAGACCTTGTTTGTTGCAGATAGAAGAATCTGCACCATATTTGTTGAGAATCTGTATAACAGGAATGAGGTTCTCAGGTTCATCTAAGATTGTTAGATAAAGGGGTGTTCGTCCCAGGTTATCACCTGTATTTATGTTAGCATCCTTCTCCAGTAGTACCTTCACTACACCTATTTGTCCATCCGTACATGCCCTTGCCAATGGCGAATAAAATCTGCCTTGTTGATTGACAACAGCTCCTGCCTTAAGCAGCTCCTTTACAATACTTAAATGTCGATCGTCACAGCAAGCTGTCAGTGGTGGTCCTGAGCGATCCTGTAGATTTACATCAGCCCCTGCCTCTATCAGCATCTTCACTAAACTTAAATCTCCACCCAAACATGCTTTTTTCAGTGGTGTATTGTATTTACCTTGTGGATTAACATCAGCCCCCGCCTTTATGAGCTCCTTTATTAAACTAATTTCTCCACCAACGCAAGCTGTTGTCAATGGTGAATCAAACTGAGTTGCTGGATTAACATCAGCTCCCATTTCTATCAGCTCCGTCACTAAACTTTTATGTCCGCACTCACTCGCTGTCACCAGTGGTGTATTGATTTCGCCTCGAAGATTGATATCAGCGCCTGCCTGAATCAACTCTTTTACTACGCTAATATGTCCACCCTCACATGCTGCTGTTAATGGTGTATTATATTCACCTTGATGATTGATATCAGCTCCCTCCTCTATCAGCTCTTGCACTATATTTATATGTCCTTCCATACAAGCTACTGTCAATGGTGTATCATAAATACAATGTTCATAATTAAAATTTGTCAGTGCCCTCAAATTTATGCTTCTATTGAAATGTTTCAGTATTTTTCTAACAATCTCTAAGTCGCCACTATAACAGCTTAGTACCAGCAAGCGGTATTGTTCAGTATTCTTGTTAGCTTCCCCTTCTTCTGTTATAAGTGATAATTCAGGGTTTAAAGAATTCGTAAACAGTTCAGACTGTGTTTCTTTGTGAAGATCAGTTTGTTCTAAAATAAATTGCAGTATATGATTGTGTCCATAGTAAATCACCCAACTGATGACCCTAATCTTGTATTCTTTCTTTCTCTCGTTGACCAGGACTTCCTGGCCTCGCAGATCTCTGTACGCCATGAATCTCTGTCGAGGCCACTTCATCTTTCCTATCCTCCCCTCACTCTCCTTGTCCAAACGTTCTTTCTTACTCACTACCTTAAACACGTTTTTCTGCACTGACAAAAATAAAAACTTAAGCACCGTGTAAGACTTTGTTTTTAACACCTCAATAAAACCCTTACAAACCTTAGGTTCTTTCAAAATATCATTCATAAAAACGTCATACAGTTCCATATTTTCTACATCTTTGTACAAACGTTCCGTTAACATTGAATACTGATCCTCTCTTAGCCTAATATAGAGATCAAATAACTCCATGTTTTCTCGAGATTTACCATTTAATGCAACATTCCCTTCCTCTTCCTTACACTCCCCACAGACTTCAATATTCTCACTTTCTTGTTTATGTTCACTCTCCAAATTTTGCATTTTATGTTCATTATGTTGTTGGAGTTTTACGTTGTTGGCAATATAACTACTACTCATATATTGTAAAATCAGTTCTGGAAACTGACAACCAAAATGATACGCAAGAACCTCAAACATGGAATCATGAACAAAGGAATACTCAGTACCATACATTTTTGTGTAAGTTCCCTCCATTGCTGATAGTGCATCAACAAATTTATAATTATTCGTTTCACTGCTGACTTTGCATTTCCACAAAACTCTTTTTTTCATTTCTTGAAAGCTTTTAGCAACCTTTTCCTTATTGGTTTCTTCAAGGATGTTCTCCGATATTTTGTTTTCATTCATCATGCATAAAACCAAAGAAACATAATGAATTTTGTTTTGTTTCTTCATTTCTTCAAGTTCATTCAAAATATAAGGAACTGGATTTTCAAAAAATGCAGTCCCGTAAGACTTGAATTTCTTTTCCGATGAAAATAATTTACAAAGATAAGGAAACATTTTAGATGTTGATGATAAATTGGCATCAGAGAACATATTGTAATTTATGTTGTACATTTTTAGTAAATTTATCTTGTCACTGTTGGTTAAAATGTTATCTTTGCTATGCAACAAAATTATATTGTTTTCATTGGTAAAAAATGAACTTGATTCAAATGATTTTCTATACACTGCTTCTCTACATGTCATGAGGGTTTTTGATTTTGGCATTGTGGGCTACTGATTCTATCTTCGTAATTAAACAAAAGGTTTAATTTTACTTCTTGAAGTCCAAAGACACCTACCACATCATCAATAACAAAAACCTGTGGACTATGAGGATCACAATAGTCCTCTCTGTTCTGATGTCTTTGATTGGTACAATCTCGTATCCTTCCTGTTGTAACATCAGGGCAATGTGATGTGCTGTTGTGCCGTTTTTCCAGATCCAGGGGACTCCAATCAACGTCACATGAGAATTTTTCTTCACTTTTTGCAGCATTGCGCAAAGTTGTGTTTCAAAGTATACCATATCCTCTTTTTTTCACTGTATGATATCGTTTTCGTGAAGAGCTACATATAGAAGACCATGTACTATCGTATTTTCAATCGAAATCAATTTTGACAAATAAGAAATACCCGAAATAAATATCAAACATTTTTTTTTCAAAGTCAAAATCTCGTGTGAAAGAAATGAATTATAAAATATAAAGAATATGCTCTACGTTTCAACACTTTCTAAAACAAGGCAAATTATTGATAAGCAATTTGAGGAAACAAGTATATCAACAGTCTCGTTTAAAGTCATCATTTCATAAATTCGATGGTCGATACAATGATTTTGTCATCAAATACAATTTACCATTCAGTCAAATGCTGAATGACGTTTTTCATACTACTTGTTAGTCCATTATTTATACACCGAATTGCCGACAGATTTTTCCGTTATATCTCGATCATAACAAGGAGCACACAGCGGTTGTGAACTGTTGACAGGGAATGCTTACTCCTTTGTGGGACCTGATCCCAGTTTTGATGTTTGGAGGTACGTGTTTGCTATGCTCATATTTTATTTTGTGAACTTTTTAGCTGGACTACTGTTCGCTATCTCCAGATATTTTATTTCTTGTTCTAACTGTTCATAAATATAACAGTGTCAATAATTTACATAGAAAATAATACATACCCTTTTCCATATTACATCATGTATCAGCCAGAGACACTAATATCAGCCAGAGGCCGAAGGCAAGAGTTGATACAGGATGTGATGTGGAAAGGGGTATGTTTTATTATGTTTATTACATACTTAGTGATAAAATACAATATTCATTAGGTTGAAAAGAAAATAAGTAAATAATCATGTACGCAGTTCTTACACGGTCTATTGTCTTATACAGTTTGTGTTTGTTAGTTCTTCTATTTCAGATGTATCCGATCTGTAATTTGAAAATAATCTTTAATTTTTTAAAATAGATTATTCTTACATTCAAAAATTTAAAATTGAGAGAATATGTAACCCCCCCCCCAATCAAAAAAAAAATATTAGTATGATTACAAGTGCTGTTTTTGAGGTTTAATTTACTAGGGGTTTGGCACTGATCCGTATCAGCCCTGTAAATCCATATTAACACTACAGGGCTAATATGACCATTATGAATTCAGGCATATCACTTATGCAAAATCCTGTATTTATCACTAAGTATGTAATAAATAAGAATAATCCAAACCTTTGACATAAAAAGAGCACAATACCAGGTATAACACTTACACATTGTATTTGCTTGTAAAAATTACCTTTAACATTGTATGGAATAGCTTCATTTTTAAACTTTGCTACTTCATCTGAAAAAAAAGATAACACAGGATGAAATTACACCATTCAGTCGACGGAATGGTAACTGAATGCCCACTGAATGGTCACTGAAAGGTCACTAAAAGTACCTTTCCCGTGACTTTTCCGTGATCATTCAATTACCATTCAGTGGACTTGAATGGCACATACATTTCAGTGACCTTTCTGTTAACAATCAGTCGCATCTTTTTATTGAATACTAGTTATCAGCTTATTTTTTAACATTAAATTCTATATCACTTTTTCCTGGTGTAAAAGCATTGAATTTGTCTAATTTCGAGAGTCTGTCACCTTATCAATTACTCTACGACTTCTTCCTGATTAATAATGAATTAAAATCAATAAAGATGTAGAAATCGATGGTACACTTGAATCACCTGTTGTATCGAGAAGCTGCGATGTGTATATATCTTGTTTTGTATATTCTATGTTAATTGCGCGGGTTTTGGGGACAGGCTGATTAATTACACATCTCTATCGGGATTATGACAAATATCAGTGACGGGCACCTGTTCCTGTGTCAAAGATATGAGATCGTTGTAAATTATCTATCTAGAAAAGTAGTAAAATAATTTTAAAACAATTTCATTTAAGAGGCATGTATAATTCATGTAAAATGATTTTAAAACGATGCCTCTCAAAAGCTAAACTATCCCGCGGTTTTGACAAAATTTATAATAGAAAAGGTGCAAAATAATTAATAATCAGGCATAATTGTTCAATAAAACATAATTCCATGAAAAATACATAAGCACGATAGAATGTGTTAGATTGACATAAGAATAATGAATTCTACTAGTAAATTTGAGCTGTAAATATATGTTTCAAAAATAATGTTTTATTTTCTTGTTTATATCGAAGAGCACTTTGACTAAAACCTTAAATTTTTTTTCAGATTGACTGATTGCTTATACATTTAATAGCCTATTTAATTGAATATTTATCACCGATTTAGATATTTACAGAAAGAGAAAATAAGACAAACTTCACGACATTTAATTAAATTTGTATTCGACCATCGGATCAACCGATATTTTTAATCACGAAGCAATTTTTTAAAGTCAAATAAGAAAATTAAAAAATACATTTTGAATTTGTATCATTAAAAAAAAATAAGATTATAATAATTATTTATTTATATTTTTGTATCTATAATCATAGTTAAGAATTTTAATTAGTTCAAACACTTTAAAGACAATTAAACCTCAAATTAATGAATTCATTCAAAATATTGTTAAGGAAAAATATCTTATGATTAACTAGTAAGCTTGTGAAAAAAAGGACCCCGCTAAGTTGATTAAAAACATCACTTAAAGGTGGCGGAAAAGTCACTGAAAGACGACAGAAAGAAGGTCACTGAAAGTCAACGGAAAGGTCGCTGAAAGTTGATGGAAATGTCACTGAAAGTTGACAGGAAAGGGGTTCGCCAACGGCTTATCTCCACCTTGCGCCGCTAGAGGCGCTGGTGTACTATGAGGTATTCTAGATAAAGCCTGGTATCTCATGGATTCGTGGTACCAGAGACGTATATGGAGGCTTACCGATTCGTAATCAAATAAAATCGATTAACAAAACTTTGAGCTTAATTTTATTGTGATTTAATGATCGTAAGATCTTAATCTGTTTCTTTAGTAAAAATTTGGTGTGATTTCATCACTTATCTGTGTCAAAATTCACCTTAAAATGTGTAGTGTTACACCACTGTAGAAAAATCAAGCGTCTCATTGATTCGTCATACGTCGTCAAAAGCTGAGTTATTGGTATAGTATATTTGGGGCACAATTACTAATAAAAAAGATAACAATTTTATTCCATAAATTATTTAGTTGATTGCAAATACCTTTATATAATTTTTCCCTTGAATTTATTCCTGTTTTCACTTAATGCACATGTCTACAGTCTACGCATCATTATTGTTGGCAATTGTCAGTTAAATATTTCAATGAAAACAAAGTTAAAATTGGACTCAAACCATCATTTGATTTTAATTCCTGACAGAATAATACAGAAGGAGACGGATTATTGTATATTAAATAAAAACTTGTTTTTGGCTGCTGGTTATAAAAAAAAGAAACACACTGTTTTTAACACTAGTGTATACGTTTTTCTTCATGGGGTGTAATAATTATAATAAGCCATTATTAGAAATCATTGTGTCCCGTGTAGAAGAACCAGGTAGTTTAATGTTTGTATAATTTGTGTATTAATTAACGATTTACTTGTTTTGATCCTTATTGATAATCAATTAAAAGTAGTTCCCCCAATACCAATGGTTGTATATCTGCTCACTATATAGCTCTCCAGATACCTTGCTTAATGGCAGTGATAACACTGAAATATTCTCATAAACACTGATAAAACGATGTTCAAAATTTAGGCAAGACTGTATTTTTAATTCTTTGAAATTTTACGCGTTTAAATTTTACGGATTTATAAAACTCGTTAAAAAATAAGTAAAAATTAGCTGCACGTAAAAAAATAACCGTTATACGGTATTACTTTCTATAATGCTCTTTGTTTCATATAGAATTTGTGCATATTTCACTGTTTTGATAAAAGAGAATAAAATATATTCCTATTTCATTAACAACTGTACAGATTACATGATACAAAAACATTACAATGGTCCACAAACATTTGAAACATGACTTCCATTGTCCATCAATATTTAAAACATGAACATAGTATCACTGTGCAATTCTTAGACAGAAGCCAAACAGTCCCGATTACAGGAAAGCTCAAAAAGTGTTCATCAGTGCAATTTGATGTTCAGAATAAAAAATGTCTCTAGACCAAAAGCTGGTCGAACGGTTTTTGGAGCTTCAGATTTCTCCCAACATGAATAAGTCTACTTTGAACTTCTGTTTTGGGTTTTCTCTTGTATTTACCGTCCTCTCTACAATGTATGTTTGTACATTTAAGATATTAAATAATCATTGTCATTGTCATTTCAGCACAATTATCAATCAAGCGGAAATGTCAAATTTTCATGAAGTGTTTGTGACAAATTTAA